CTTCCTATTTATCTTCATCAGATATAGATTGTTAGTTATATGATATAAGCAATGGACATTTCTTGGGAATCCTCCTCTCTCTGGAAAAGTGGAAAAAAAATCATCAGGTAACAAACTTAAACGAAAAATTGAGAAATATGGTCTAGTTTTGATCTTTGGTTTATTGGTATTTAAAATCTTGATGAGCATATCCATATCGATCAATAAAACAGATCTGACAAGTACTGATGTCTTAACCCAAGTCAAAGTTTATTGATCTATAGCATATGAAGTTCAAGTTTCTTAAACACTGTAATAAATAACATTAGACTGCACCATACAGATGAGGTCAAGTCTCACCAATGCCTGGCCTTGGAGAAGACCTGATGGACACAACCATTAATTTCAAAAGCAGGTACCTACTACAATTTTTTTTAGCAAAGATGCAAATACTTCAGCTATTAGTCATTGTAATCTTGTTGTATGTGCAGACATCTCCTACTCCTAGAAAGACAAATACCTTTTAGTCTATGATTCTTATCCATAAGTCACTATTTTCTAACTAAAGCATTCATGGCAAAGCTTTTTTTCTTCTTGCTAAGTTGGCTAATAAAGGTAATTATTTTGTAGGCTCGGTCGCTTAAAGGAGAATCTATTCTTCTGTTCAGCAATTGCAGGGTTACTAAGATCTATTAGGCAGAAACCATGAGTAGCCATAGTTTAACTACAGCTAAACAAAATAATAATCCTGAAGGAACCAAGCATTTCCATCATTCTTCGCTGTTATCAGTTCAGTTGAGCAACCAACATGACTGTAAAAACCTACTGGATGATAGGTTGTCCTCCACAAGCCCCTACCGTGCACAGACAGAACTGCTTAAATCATCCAGCTTCAAGCCAGGAAGTCCACGCTCTTATGTATCTCATTCTCAATGTTCAGATCATATGTTTTCTCGTTCTTCCACATTTTGTACCAGCCTTTACTCTTCATCTTCAGCCATCTCAGAGTCCTCTCGAAAGTTAAGTAGCTCACCGTTCCTTCCTCATCCTCCAAAGTGCGAGAAGCAGAATTCAGCTGTTCAATTGTCTAGCTCTCCTCTGCTGTTCAATGGAGACACAAGTGCTAGAAGTTGTGAGGATGAACACACAGATGACTTGATGAAAGATTTTCTTAATCTGTCTGGAGATGCTTCAGATGGTAGCACCCATGGAGAGATTTATGGCAATAATGGCATAGCACTTAGCGAGCAAATAGAATTGCAACTTCTTTCCGAACAACTCGGTATAGCTATCACCGACAATGGGGAAAGCCCACGTTTGGATGTGAGTATTTTGTTGTATCTTTGCAATATTTTTCTATTTCCTTAAGTGTTTTAAATTAAATATGTTAGTATCACTTCATGTAAATGCTTATTGCATCATCTAATTCAAAACTTTTTGAGTATCTTGGTGTTGCACCCAAAAATCTGACTTGAAAGCAATGTTAATGACATAAAAATGACTCTTGAGCCAAATATATCTGAATAGTTTGGTCAGGAACTGCTTGCATATAAGTGGCGAGTGCTCTAAAATTTGGCTATACAAGGATGATTACTGTTGTTGTTGAACAAACATGAAAATATTTTTGAAGATAAATTATAGTCATAGTATGTCCAATTTGCTAACAATTTTGTTATACAACTAACTTGCTGATTTTTTATATAGGACATATATGAGACACCACAGGTCTCTTCTCTTCCTTTGTCTTCTAACCACAACCAGGCTGTTCAGCTTTCAGAGCCTCCTGCTAAAGTTCAACTGCACTCATCCCCCTCCACAGCCACAGTCTCAGCTTCAGCTGCAAATAAGACAAGATTAAGATGGACCTTGGAGCTCCATGAGCGATTTGTAGAAGCTGTGAACAAGCTTGATGGGGCTGAGAGTAAGCTCTCCATTTTGATTTAGCATTGCTGGATGAATTTGTAGTCTCCATCTATGTTTGTTCTCACATGCAGAGGCAACTCCAAAGGCTGTACTAAATCTTATGAATGTCGAAGGTTTGACTATTTACCACGTAAAGAGTCATTTGCAGGTATATCTAGCAAAGTGATCTCTCACAAGGTGTTGCATTTCACTGTACTTATTCATTTGTAACTTGCAGAAATATCGACTTACTAAGTACATCCCAGAGGCGAAAGAAGGTAATTCCAAGTTCCAGCTATTAAGAGAACACACACTTATTTCTTATTTACTGTGAATGTGTAATGTTGTCTTAGCAAACTGTCAATGCTCAAACTTAATCAAACTTGGATTGGGGATTGTTGGTTAAGTCATATGAAATGACTCCATTTTATTACCATAAACTATCAACCATCTGTTCCCTGATACTACACAACTAATACTCAAGTTGCCAACATTAATCCGACAAAATTGAAGATGACTCAAATGGGTCAAGATTGACTACACAAAATTTTCTTGTCTCCTGTCTTGAAGATGGGTATAGATATATGAACTTTCAAACTGTATGATTCATAAAGAGAGCACGTTGGAAGAAGCTAGTACTGAGTTTGGACAACCCATATGAATTGAAGTAAGCAAATTATATTTGTATCAAACCTAATTGCATTAATGCAGTTGCAGATTGTCAACTTTATTCCCCTGAACAACCGAAACATAAGAAAAGGAAAGGAAAAACAACAGAATTAGTAAACTAGTTATAAACTCTATTATCTGGATGTTCATGGCTGTTTACTTGCTTTAAATTAATTTATAGTATTGTTGTAGTAAAAATGTTATGATTATTAATATCTGATATCTTAATGGTTCTGTGTGTTTAAGATGACAAAAAGGCTTCTTGTCCTGAAGATAAGAAGGCACCATCAGTTAGTGATGACAATGATTTGGCCAAGAGGAGGTATCCCCCAAAAGAAAATATTTGTTGTTTCTCCCCTATTTCAATCATGCACTTGTAATCTTTTATTTAAATCATTTATTTAACTATCCTTTTCTCTTAATGATAGGAACATTCAAGTTACAGAGGCTCTACAGATGCAAATAGAGGTTCAAAAGCAGCTGCATGAACAACTTGAGGTAAGCATTACATATTTAAGTGTCAGTGGTCAAGTTTCTGTAACAATCAATCGACAAGCTTTAGAGACTGCCAAATTATGTGGTATAGAGGGTGATAGCTCCAGATGATGATATGAACTTATGCGGCTTTTCAAACTCCCCAAGACTTTACTTTTCTGTTGTGGTTCAGACTCTGGAGCATCAAAGAAGAGCTTACCTCTCCCAAACAGGTTGTAAATATGAGAGCAATCTAGTTTTGTGGAGGACAGTTTTTTCACTTTTAGCTACATGTGAGATATGAGATTAGGCTTTTGGTGCTTCCCCCATTTTGGCAGATCCACTTCTGCGACTATTATATTAGACTGATTATGTAGGGTGATTTGGTCAGTAAGCACAAAGGAGCAGCGTTACGTTTTATTAGACTAGTAGTATGGGTTCACGTAATTGAAGCATTGTGAGCTAATCTCATCTTTGAGTCATATCAAGCTACCCTTACCAGTCTTCTAAGGTTGGACTTGCCAAAATGCTATTGCATCTACTGTCTGATGATCGTGTTTATGTCTACAGATGTTGATATCTTGTTTTCATCCTGTTAAGATATTTGGTGGATATGAATATTCAAGCTAGATGTTGAATTCTTAAAGTTCATACGAGTTTTCCTGTACTGAACAGCCTAATATCTAGCAAAGATACTATATTGAGCTAAACCATAGGAACATAAACTCTTCTATAGATCTTCTTTTATATCAATGCATTTGACCTTTAAACAAAATAGAAATTTCATGTCGCTGTGATGAGGAAGTGAAGAAGATGGTTGTGTGAGATCACTAGAAAAAGGTAGAATAACAAATTTATACATTTAGGACAATTAGATGCGGTTCTAATAGAAAACACAATGAGGGAATAATAGTTATGCTGGCGGTGAACATATCCAAAGAAGCCCTATAGATGTCCTGATTAGATGAGTTATGCCAATTAAGTTCAGTTGAGAAAAAGGTGGAGAAAGACCTAAGAAACCTTTATTAGAAACAAGCAAAAGATGTCTGCTCTTAGTTTTTGACTAGTAATATTGCTTTAAAGAGGTCAATGACAAGAAAAGATTCACGCAAATGATCTCTAATAATTTGCACACTATAGCTTGTTGTTGTGGAAGGAACTGCCAGACAGATGATCCTGAACTTTGTTTGATGGCTACTTTACTAGAATTGGTAGATCTGAGTGGAAAAGCATAAGGACCTTTTGTCTTTCTGATAAAAATTTTAGGACATTGGGATATCCTAAAAAGTATGAAGAGCTAGCAGACTACTTGTCAGAGACATTCTACTTACTTTATGCAGCTCTATATTTCTCTGTCCAAACCCCAATATTCTTCTCCAGGTGCAAAGAGCACTTCAGTTGCGCATAGAGGAAAATGCAAAGTACTTGCAAAAGATTCTGGAGCAGCAGCAAAAAGCAAGGAATCCCACATCCTCCACACAAAGGTCAATCTCGGAGGTGCCTTTAGAACAGCATAGCCCCGCCCCAGATCAATCCGAAGTGGGCATTGACTGCTCTCCACCAAACTCTCTGAAGCATAAAGAAAATGATTCAGAAAGCGATTCTAAATCTGTCAAAGATTGTAAGAGGATTAGGCTTGAAGTTGAGCAGGAAATACTTTCCTAATGTTGAGACAGCTTTTGTTGTCCACATTCTGTACTTGTTTACAAGAAGAATTTGCATGCATGTTCTTTTCATTCATTTCCTAGTTATTGTAGGCGGTGGGATTGGTTTGGATTGAGTTGATGTAAATTCCTGTGAAGAATGAATTAAAACTGAGGTAAGCTGTACCCTTGCATTCTTAAGTGGTGAAAACTTCGTGCATATTTTTGCTCCACCTTATTTGCTATCATCTCCTGGAACATTTTCAGACAGATAATACACCTTGCATGGAGTAGTCCTTGTTCCCTTTTGTCATGACTCTGTTCCATCATAAGACTTGATATGACACCTTCAGTCATCGTTCTGAGCCACTCTCATTGTAAATTATGCTAACTTGGGTCTGGTTAGAGGAGTCCCCTTCGTCTTCCAAAATGCCAATGTTATTCTGCTTCATGGATTCCATTAATCAATGATGCAGCTCGGCCAAACACAGCTGCTGATTCTGCACTGTGTTTGCACTGTTCGATCGGTGCAGTTCTGAACATGTACTTCTTCCTCAATCATCTCTGTCAGTCACAGCCAGCTCTGGCCCAGGCTCTTCCTCTTTGCCCTCTCCCTCATCATCCGGCGAGTCTGCTCGGCCCACTCCACGTTCCCTGCATCGTCGTAGATGCCCGCGAGCAGCACGTAGATCGCCGGATCCGATGGGTCGATCTCCAGCGCCTTCCTCGCCATGCACTCTCCAAGCACCATGTTGCTGCGCTGCTTGCAAGAAGCCAGCAACGTCTTGTACACCAGCGCGTCAGGCTGGAACGGCATCGTTTCGATGGTGCAAGCCGCCTCCTCCAACCTGCCCGCCCGCCCCAGCATGTCGACCAAGCAAACATAGTGATCTTGCTGCGGTGCCACGCCATGCAATTCCTGCATGGAGTTGAAGTACTCGACGCCGGCGTCGGGTAGTCCGCCGTGGCTGCAGGCGTACAGCACCAGCAAGAAGGTGATACCGTCGGGCTGAGCTCTTGCCAGTCTCATGTCCTCGAAAGCGGACAGCGCTTCCACGAAACGGCTGTTCGACGCCAGGCCGGATATTAATCCGTTCCATGACACCACGTTTGGCTCTTCGATCGCCGCGAAGACCCTGCGAGCCTCCTCTACGCTTCCGCATTTGCCGTACATGTCGACGAGGCCATTCGAGACCGAGATCCAGCTCAGGAGGCCGGACTTCACCGAGAAGCCATGCAGCTGCTTACCGGATTGCATTGCAGCCAAGCCCGCAGTAGCGGATAGGAAGCAGGCGAGGCTGAAACCATCGATACTCAAGTCTTCCTCGTGCATGTACGCGATCATGTCCAGTGCCCTCCGGTGAAGGCCAACCTGATTCAACCCCTTGGCCATGGTCGTGTACGTGAGCACGTCCCTGCGAGCCATCATCGTGTGCGCGACGGCCCACGCGTCGTCCACCCTCCCAAATCTAGCGTAGACGTCCACCAGCGAGTTCCCGGCAGACAAATCCGACGCGTCCACCTTGGTCTTAATCATGTAAGAGTGGAGCTTTCGGGCATGAGCCAGAGCTTCTACGGAGTTGCAGCTGCTGAGAACAGTCGACAGGGAGAAAGAATTCGGTTCCACTCCGGTAAGTCGCATTTCCACCAAAGCCAGGAGCACCTTCTGCTCGAGTCCGTGTCGAGCAAGCCCGGCCATGAAAGCTGTCCACGAGACGATGTTGGGAGATACAATGGCTGCGAAGGCGCGCACTGTGTCATCTAGATCCCGGGAGTGTTTGGCGTACAAGTCTACCAGTGCGTTGGCAACTGATACATCATCTTCCAATCCTGCCTTGATCACCCGACAGTGAATCTGCCTTCCCAGTTCTGGCTCAGGAGCAGATGAACAGGCACTGAGGACTCCGGAGTAGGTGAAGGAATTCGGCGTCACCCCTGCATCCTTCATGTCACGGAACATAGTGATTGCCTCCGAGTAGCGTTCTGCTTGGGAGTGTCCAGAGATCATCGTCGTCCACAGCATTACATCTGAGTCTGCCGTCTGGAGAAACACTTTAAGCGCATCCCTCATCCGGTGGCATTTCGAATACATGTCGACGAGCGCCGTCTTCAGCACCAGATTGAGCTCCATTCCCCACAGGACCAGGTGAGCGTGAAGCATCATACCAACGCGAAGGCCGAAGAAGCACCCACAAGCCCTGAGAAGCTTGGCGAAGGTGTACTCGGTAGGAGAAGTTCCGCCTTCGATCATGAGCAAATACAGCCGCAATGCTCCCACCCAGTTCTTCGCTTCGATGAGAGCCGAGATCATGGTGGTCCACGAGACGACGTCCCTGTAGTCCATCGAAGCAAAGATCTCAGATGCTTCTTGGAACCTGCCGCATTTTGAGTAGACGTCAAGCAGAGCGCTTCCAACGACAGCATTGGTCTCAAATCCACGCTTTTGAACGTGGGCATGAATTTGAGCTCCAAGGTCCAGTAACCTGAGCGAGGCGGCGCAGCAGATGGCGCTGGAGTAAATGAACTCATTAGGACCGGTAAGAGGAGAGCGAGTCAACATGCACTTGAACAATCCAAGTGCTTCCTCATGGTTCTTGACCCGACTAAACGCCGAGATGATGGTGCTCCATGTTACGACGTCTCTGCTAGTCAATTCATCGAACAGCTTCCGCGCAGTGCCGACACCACAAAATTTTGAGTAGAGAGAGAGGAGGTGGTTGTTCAGCGACAGGTGATCATGGAAACATAGCTTGATGATAGGGCTGTGAACGCAGATTCCCTGCCTTGCTGACTTTGGTTTGGAGCACAAGGAGAGCAGACTCAGGCACAAATCCTCAGTAATATGTGAGGGATAGGAATTGAGATGGTGAAGCTGCGGAAGGTGAAACTCGAGCGATACGCCGAGAAAAGTCTGGAACCATCTTCTATGAGAGGAAGCCAAAGGAAGGGCCACCATAGGATTTCTCTTGTAAGGGTGAAGAGAGACGACGAAAGCTTCGATCCAACCACATCTCATGTTGATTTTCCTAAACAGTAATGTCGCATCAACTGCAGGTCTACTAATTTATTATGCTGCTTAAAGTTTAAACTATAATCTGAGTATAAGAAAATGCAATATAAGATGATTTTAACAAGAGTTTTCAATCAATGAGAAGCACAACAGATCGTAATGTCCCAAAAAAATGGGATTCTATGCAAAATGATATCCACAGTAATCTTTTTATTTACAGATTCTGATAAAATCCTCATAAACCACTGCAGAGCACATCTTAAATATATTTTTCTCGATTTTTCCTCTATCGAAATTATATTATATTATCACGAGTGAAAATATCTTTCTTTCTTATCAACTTTACAAATTTATCTCAGACTTTATCATCTCAATACGATCACAAGAATTGAAAGGATAATTAAATTTGATCCTTCTATCTAGGGTGAATGAACGTCTACAACAGGAAAAAATTAAGCACCACCAACACGGTGGAAGTACAAGCTCAAAATAGAGTAGCCGTAAACTCTGATTCAAAATTATGAGTCGATCTACTCCGAATTCGTATGTGAGTTCATTAAGAGATACTAAAATATCATTGCTGTTTCTCATCACTCAAGTACTGATAAACAAAAAGTTCATTAAAACTGCAGTAAGAAGTTATACAACATGAGATTTTGAAAGGAAACAGGAAAAGATACTAAAAGATCATTGCTGTTTCTCATCACTCAGAGTGCACATTCGATCATCTCCTGGATGGCTTGAGTTTGGGTTCCTTAGAAGCGTTGGTGTCTCCACCTTTCTTCTTCAGGTACCCACTTAGAGTTGCTTTTGCCTTCAACCACTCCTTTTCGGACTCGGCACTGCGCATGAAGGTGCAAACTTCCCCGATGTTAATTTTTGGGATACTTCTTCCCTGCTGCAGATTGTTCTGATGCTCTCCATCGGTGGTATCTGTAGTAGTTGCTTTCCTTCTGTCTATGTTCCCTGGCACCCCAGGAGGACTATGTGATATAATCTTCTCAAGTCTGGTATTTTGTTTCACCTTAACATCTGTTGAACCCTCTCCATCAGGTTCCCTCTTCCTCTTCTTTGGTGCAGCAAAAGGCTTGGTGACAGAATCCTTAGCATTCGGTACCGTTGGTGCTATTGAACTGATGCCAGGCAATACATGTGATATGCTGAATGTGCTGCTGTCTGACTCCCCAACAAGATCTCTCCATGAGGATTTCTGTATCCAGGTGTTGCTTGTTGCTGATATAACAGTAGTTGTGGCATTTTCAGCTTGATTTTTGCCAGCTGAATCTTCCGCTAAAATCTTGTTTACTTTATCAACCTTTAAATCTTCACTTCTGGTTAATATGGAAGCAAATTCATCTTCAGTCCCCACCACTGTTGGAGAGGTTGCCTGACTTGATGCGACTTCAGAAGTAACAGTAGTCGTGATCTTCTGCCTCTTTAGAGAACGTGCTTTCTTTTGAGTAAGCCCTTCTGTAAAAGTTTGGGGTATACCAGTTCTCGACTCCTGAACCTACAGAGCATAGAGAAAGGAAGTATTTTGTTATCAGCTGTATCCTCTTGAATAGATTATGCAAGATGACTGGAACCTGTATGTCAAACAAAACAGAATTTCTGATGGAATATATCATGACAAAGATTTGTGTCTAGTTTCTATGAGGTCAACCATCTACATAACTCAGGTACCTGATCCACAGATTGTGCCTTCTTGCCTAATAACTGCATCAACATGTCATCACTTTCTCCCACACCAATGTTGGTAACAAAGTCTGCATCTGTTTCCTGAGCTTCTTCAGTTTGTTTTGGCTTAATGTCATCATCAGAGGTATTTACAATAATGGCTTGTGTAGCAATGCTTTTCACCCCAGATGCAGGGACTTCATTCTCTTCCTTCTCAAGAAGTTTGTTCATTACACCTGTCATAATACTTCGTTCTTTCTCATATGCTGCAGAATTCAGAGCAGAGATATATGTTTCATTGGCTGTTTCAGATGGCCCACAATGTTCCTCACAGTCACAAAAATGAATTGGTAGGGAAGGCACTACAACACGTTGAAAACTGTACTTGTGCTTCCCTGTTCCTTTATACGACAGTGTCTTTACCTATATAGATCAGTTCTATCTTTCAGATAAATAAGGAGAAAGAAGGTGACAAAGTGGCATTAACAACTCGAGGAAGAATATTTAAACAAAAGACAAAAAGAAGGATTTGTTTTAGCTCCAAATGACTATGCAAGACATACATGGGAGACAAATTCCAACACTGACCTAAGCAATTCATCATGCAATATCGCCAGGAATCAAAAGTGCCCATCCAACATTTAATATTAGTGTATGTCACCAAGCCTTGAAGATCCATCATTTAATTATGCATGGCAAAGTCTAAAACACAATGCCAATGCCATGATATCCATTGTAAGGTTAGGGTTAATTTGAGTGGTGATAGGAATAAAATTGAGTTATACAATGTACATTCCTATTTTCCTCTTTTCAGTAAAGTTGGTCAACTTTTCTCATGAAATTTTGGGACCAAGGGATCCTAAGAATTTTTAATATATGAAAATTCCGGTTGGACAGATATGACTAACAAAGTCCATTAGTTGTTCCTCTCTAAAGACAACCAAAATATTCAAATCAGAGCTAAAAAATTGGAAGCATATAACTTCTTACCTCATTTTCTATCATGCCCTCTTGTTCTGCCATTCACTCTCATTATTTTGCTGGTAGCTAATTGTATTTATTAGTCTTAAAACATTCCTTACAAATTACCAAGACCTAAGCCCAATCTTGTAAGTTGTATCAAATAACCACAGCTTGTAAAATCAATAGAATGTTTATCGGGGTTAACAAATTCAAATGAATAAGGCGACTAATAATTCTGACCATTAAAATGTTGTGTACTCAAAACAACATAATATTTCATGTTGCAATGTTGTCTCCTACATAATAATAAGTTTCTTCATGTTTCAAAGCAAGATTCCCCCGCAGATAGTAGATTACCTAATTTTTGTGACCAGATAGTAGATAACAGACACTGAAGTAATTTTCAATTTATAATTATGGCTCACCAATATATAAGGATGTACAAACATTTTTAGAAATTGCAGATTTACATTGATTGAGAACCACATGAATGTTTAAGTGCATAAACACCATAATTAACAGTATAATCATACAGATTTAAGGCGCAAAACTAAGCTTTCACGTTTTACCATGTGCACAATCATAGAGGATCTGTCAAATATATATATGATGATAAAAATTTAAAAAAATCATTTTAGTTAAGAAAATTTGCAAGCTAAATTCACAATTGTGCAAATAAGTAGCCATATTATATGAGAAGTACATCTTTACCTTCTGTACATATATGTCTATAAGAAAATTAAAATGATACAAAATACATCTACTGAGTACTATCCTTCCAATGAAACTTAACATATGTTCTTAATTGTACAGCCAGGTGCAGGGAGATATGGTGATAACTAGCATGCAAGTAGAGAGGCCATATGCAAGAACAGTATCTCCGTTACCATTCATGGATGAAGTTTCCTCTTTCTAATTAAAAGATAACTTTAAAACAGCAAATTCTTCAAACGGAATGAAGAAACCAATATTACTAGAGCTAAGTTATAATTAATAATAACAAAATAAATGCACAGGTCCAATTTTTCTGATGGAGATTCACTTAACAAAGTAACTAAATAAATTGTTGAATTTTATACAGTGTAGCTTGCAGATCATGCGAAGATTTTCTGATTTTCTTAATACAAAGACATAATAACATACCTTTCTCAACTTTGGGAAAAAAATTCGAAGGTTAGCATTCTCCTGACTTAAGCATCCTGACTTGTCTGAATGATCTGAACTTTTCACAACATCAAGATCAGGTGGTCCATTGACTTTAGCTTCTTCAAACCACTCCCGCTTCAAGCGAGCCAGATAATGTTCTTTAGCCTTTTCAAGTCGCAGTTTCCCTCCTTTCCAAGTGCATCCATTGTACTGGAGACAACACAGTTTAGAAGCATTAGCCATCTGAACAAGTAATTGTCTGTGGTAGTCCACTCATCTACTGCTAATGGATCAATAGAATATCTTATCAATGTTCTCCAGTCAAAACAGAGTAATTTTCTTGTTAAGTCCTGTGTAAGATATGATTCAAGGCAATTATAATTTCCTTCCCTTCATTCTTTTATCTTAAACACTCAGAGAATCGAGTGGGAAATTCCTCAAAGCAAGACTTAGGTTTCAATTTAGATTTTGGATTATTTATCATCTTTTTCTAGCCAGAGCAGGATGTCAAACTTGAGTGTCTCATAAATGACAGTTCTCTTGCAACATCCCATCATACCAGAGGGTCAAATTAAAACTAATTTGTTTAAATACAAAAACACATAACCTGCATCTTAATCTATAGGAGTGTCTAAATGTATGTTATCATCAAATTTAAGCTAGAAAATTATAAATCCGGTTTGCATGCCCATCAATTTCCAAAGACCCCATAAGTAAATAACTACAGTGCAAATACTTTATTCTCTTTATCAAAGCCCATCCAAAAATTAACTTACTTTTAACCATTATATGGTATTACATCAGATGTTTTCCACGCTAAATGTTAGTAAAATGGTAATCAAGGGTTCACCATAAAGTTCTCTATGCATGTCTATCAAACAAAACACTTCAAGAATAGACAAACAAGCAGAACATACGCCCTTGATGAGTCAGCAATCAACCATAAATGTCTAAGTTATTATAGGCATAACAAATTAACATCAAGAAGAAAAAAAAACCTATAGGCCAACAATTTGGGAGTTCCAATATCGAATTGAACAAATAAGAAAGGAAGAATATGAATTATCAGAAGGTAACTAACAACTGCAAACAGCTTCGCCAAAGCTTTGTCAGAGTTAGGCTCGAAGTCCACGAAAGCAAAGCTCCGTCCATTTGAACGCACAAACTCCATATTGTGCACTCTGCCTAGCGACAAGAATGTCTTCTCCAAGTCAGCAGCTGTCACACTTGTACTCAGGCCACCAATGAAAATTCTGTTGATCATTAAACTAGACGCAACACCAGAAGCACACTCCTCCATCTCCAAACTCTCTCAACCTCCACCAGCTCTCCCTTTCAATCTTCTTTATCCCTGAAAAAATCAAAAGCAAAAAAGCTATAATTGGGATGTAAGTTGTACTTTATATGAAGAATCCGAAAAAAAAGATATCCATCTATGGATTTGAAAACAGTGTACTGCATTAGGCGCTAAAAGGCACCAAGGTGCCAAAACACTCATTTAGTGCCAAGGTTCCAAAATATGATCGAGGCACTAGGTGTTCGCTCAAGAGAAGCTAGGCACTCACCCGAGTGAAGCTAGGCGCTTGCCCAAGCAAAGCAAGGCACTTCTGAATATATATATATATACATATGTATATATGTATATACATATGTATATACATATGTATATACATGTATATATGTATATATATATATATATGTATATATGTATATATATATATATATATGTATATGTATATGTATATATATATAAGTATAATTATTAAAATAAACATGCAAGTCAGTACATCAAACAACTATAAGACATGATTGAGCATATCACCGAGATAGCAAAAAAAAAAGTGAAAGAAATCAACCAACCACCCCAATCAATCCCCTGCTAACTCCACGATAGTTGCTTCTAAACAAACTATAACTCATTCAGCATAAGCTCTAAGCAAGGAAATGGGGGGCATCATTTCGTCAAACAGGTAGAAGGCATGGAAAAGCAGTGTCACAGACGCGCTTAACCAAGCGTTCAAGAAATCAATCGCATTAAGTAATTAACTACCAACTCTCGTACCGGAACTTCTCGACAAAGCAAGAAGCACATGTGATCGTGCGATCTGTCGCCAACACATCACGAAAAATGCATGAACTTAAAGGCAAAAGAACAGGCATTAGAAATCAGTGATTCCATCTGAAGGAAACGAACACATGTCACGAGGAAGACGTACTCGCTCGTTTTATGAGGTAGTGGAGAAGAAGACGACTGGGGATTCAAGGCCTTTTCCACCCAAGTGCTACAAAGGTTTACAGGTTCCCTTTCGCCGCTGAGAGGAGGGCAAACACCCAAAACGATGTGCTCGACCGTCCCTTTTCCGAACCGGTGGAGTACTGTTTTCCCATATCTAATGCGGGTCGGATTTTTTTGTCTTACGAGCTCATCCGACCCGTTTAAACATAAAAAATGTATGTGAATTGAATTCCACATACAGGTTCTTGAATCAATTGATAGAATTTACATAAATAATTTTTATTGAAGTTATTTATTTACGACTTTGCTAACTTATATATTTATTAAAGAAAATAATAGGGTTTTTGTCAATTATTTATTATTTTGATTACAGATATGATTAGGTTTGGAGTAAACTTGAGATCAACATCATAACCTATCATGAACTTTAGGGGTCGTTCCCATATAAAATTCATGTTGGAGGTATGTCCGATAAAATCAAGCCAATTAATGATTCATAAAATTAAAGAAATATGGTGTTTTGAGCTAGTCTCAAACAACGTAAAAAACATAAATAGAGGTTTCGATAACGAGCAAAGGTAAATGATCATTAATGTCTCGAGCTAATAAGTAAATGAGTCGAAATAAAGAAAATAGAAAAGAGAAGTAGAAATCAAGGAGAAGCCATTTTGAATTGAAACTGCAGGTAATCCGTATCCCTCCCCGCCTGCACGGTCCACGCACATCCCAACAAGAGCGCAACAGCCTGCCATGGCCGCAAATCTCCGACCGGGGGATTAGCTGACCTGACAAAACAGGGATACTCCTCCTCTCACCTCTCCAATGGAGCGCGTGCAGGGTCCCATGACCATTACTCTTACCCCAGGTGCAGCAAATCTACGGACCCTGCCAGGGACGAGACAGGTCTTATCATGACGGTTCAGCTACCGCTTCCGGAGATTGGCGTCCCCCCAAAAGTTGTTCTCTCCTGTCACGGGGGGCACTCGAGCGGGTCCCATGTCAACATTGTGAGAGGGGAGAAATTGGGGTAGCGGATGCTCGAGGCGTGGAAACTTCGTCCATCTGACGAAGAAGGATGACAAGAGGAAATCAAATAAGATATTAGTAGTAACGACTGCTTGTTTGAAATTTGAAATCGCTGCAGCTACTACTACTTCAATAGAATGCGCAAATAAGCAGCAGCTGCTAATTTGCTCCTCCTCCTCGTCCGGTCTCTCCACTCGAGAGACCCAAATCAGCTATTCTCCAGGTGAGCTTTCGGCCCTCTCGCGCTCATCTTTGACGAATCGCAGCTCCCATATCGATTGCTTCCTCCTTTCCCTCTGTTTCCATGCTTAAAGCCTCACAGTGTCGATCGATCGAACAGTTCTCTTCATCGGGTTCATCCTTTGTACCCATCGCCTCCCCGTTTCTCTCGAAAGCCGAGTACATGAGAAAGGTGCTTTCTTGTTCATCAGTACTGAATCAAAACTTCGATCTTCTTTTTCTCCTCTGTGCTTGTACGATCGGAAAGGGCGAATGTCATTTCATGTCGAATCAACATAATGATAGAGCATATAGCTTTGATTTCAAAACCAAGAAAGCTTCGCTCTGGTTTCTTGAATTACTGGTCTCGAACAGGATAGCCGAGATTACGACATTCCTAGGGTTTACTGTCCAGAATGTTTATGGTCCTTGACGTACTAAGGCGACCTTTTGGTTTTTGTTGAGATGCCCAACCACGAGAAGCTTAATTCTCTCTTTTTCTTTGACTAATGTAACCTTCTTGTTGTAATCTTTGTTAAACAGGTGTAAGCCGAATACAGCAGTGATTCCTCATCGCCCCTTAATTGAAGAATGTGCGAACCGCCGATTCTTAGATGCAGAACGAACTTGTAAGTCTCGTGCTGCTGCTGTGAATTCTCTGTATACTTGTATCGATACTTACGTTGAGCCAACCTGATGTCTTGGTGCAGAAAAGCCTCGTCCCCTGAGAACTGCCTTAACGCTAAAAGAAATCATGATGCAAAACTTCAGTTGGGTTATCTTGATGAGCTCAAGGCTGAGGGTTCATATGAATTTCAGGTCAGTTTCCAAGCTCCTAAATATCCTAATTTTGTATTATTTTGGAAAGAAAGTGAGTGAAACTTTGGTATTCTACATAATTCGTCGCTGAACTGTCCATGTGGTGCATCTAACAGGCCAGTGTGATTAAAAACACGAACAGGGTATTTGGTCATGCAAGTTGTCTTGGTTCCTGTTGGTAATGGATTCACAGGACCTCTTGTACTGACTCATATACAGCATGCAATTTGCAGTGTTTAGTTAGTGTGATACCAACGATAGGTGAAGCACACCTAGGTATTCTAATACCATATGAGATGCCGATAATAATTTCAACCAAGGTTGTACATTCAGTGTGCTTGAGTAGCCATGCTTGCTCATCCTGCTGATGATTGCTTCTCAGCAGGCAATGATACAACCACGAGCAGATAGTTGGTTGTCCTTTTCCTCTTTTCAATGTTAGGGTTTATGATGTATGTTTCTTCATATGCTCCTCAGTGGCCATTCTATAAAAGATATTTATATGCTCATTGTACATCTCCCGGTTTCATTCTGTTGCATTTGCTGATTGACTTTCAGTTTCTAATATTGTCCTAATATTTTCTAGGAAAATTGTCAAATTGGAGAACTTGGAAGGACAACTTCGTGCAAAAGAAATGTTTCTAAACATTCGTGTAGGTTTCAGCTTGAACAAGATGTAAGTTTGTCTTATTTAATTATTCAATTGTGCCTACGTCATCCTAAAGATGCACATATGCACCCAATCCTTTTCAAATTACTTTGTTATCTGTTCCTTGCAGTATTTTTCTTTCTTAATTATTAAATTGTGCCTATGTCATCCTAAAGATGCACATACGCACCTGATTCTTAATTATTAATTTGTTATGTTGCCGTTAGCTGCTTTATATATATATATGTATATATATATATGTATATATATATATACATAAATATATATATATATATATATATACATATATATATACATATATACATATATATATACATATATACATATATACATACATATATACATATATACATACATATATACATATATATATATATATAATCATCACTCATCTTCTTTACGTCCTGACCTTGTCCAATTGTTTGATTAGTAATCACATTCTTTCTGTCATACTTCAGTCTGTCATTTCTGTCCTTTTTACTCCAACAGGTACAAAAAAAAAAAATCCATACTCTTGAATTTTTTAAGCAATTTGGTTCTTATGAAAATTTTGAGGGCCATGGTTGTCTAATTTGTATAATTAAGAGTTAAAAACTGTTTGTCTATGGTTTCCGTGATGCAAACCAACTTCCATATTAAATGTTAGTTTATGGATGTATTTTCTGGTTTTGCATGGGAAATTGAAAATAGAAAGGTACTTGATTTGAGGAAAATCGTTACTTTCTCATGTCTTAGAAATTTGGAAGCTTAAGAAATAAAAAAGGTTGTTCTCAAATTTTGCACTTATGTTATACGTGATGCAATGTTTCAGGTTCAAAGGCTCCAGCAATTGTTGAATGAGGAAATGGAATTGCATGTTGTCCTTGAAAATGCCCTGGAGCATGCTGCTGTAACATTGTCTGACTTGTCGTGCCTTCCAAATGATGTATCATCCTCTTAACTTTACTATTTCATCACATTTTTGCCTGTTGGATCAGTTTAAATTGATTTCAAAGTAAAACCTAACATTATTTTTAATATCTCCTAGAGTTGACACTTTTTCCTGTTTGTCTTGGATGAGTGGTTCATGTGATCAGATTCTCTATTCATTTTAGCTTGCATGATGTTATGTGTCTTTGATGTTTATGCTATTGCTTAAGACATTAATGATGGACATTGTCAATCAAAATAATTTGACCTCTAAGAAGCGATTGTCTCCTTTTACCTTACCAAGTGCATATTCTTCCATACCTTTTTTTTACTATTTCTGCATCCTATTTTATTTGGTGTCTCCATAATCGTACAGTTTGTCTGGCCAAGTCCAGTGCAATATGAAAACAGTTGTACAAAACTATATAGGTTCAAGGTTTCGTGATGTAATTTTATAATCCTCCAAAAACTCACTTTGTTCCTGTTGCCCACAGCCACATGCAATTGAGTTATACAGGTTCAAGGTTTCATAATGTAGTTTTGTATTGTTCCAAAAGCTCACTTCATTCCTGTTGCCCACAGCCCACACAATTGAGTCCTTAATTACACACACACACCAATATGCTTCCCCATTTATTGATGAAGTCACTTATAATTGTTAACATCCCAACTTGAATCGTGAGAAAGTGAGTTGGTATAGTCAATTTCTTTAATGAAGCTTCTCATTTTGGCTCTCAACTTACAGTCATGTACTGTGTTCAAGAGCATATTTATCATTTGATTAAAGACTAATTTCTCAGAAACTGTAGAAGTAACACAAAACATGAAAATATGAAAATAGTTTTTGACATATCATGCTTCCGAACATATGAATTTATTTTCTAGTTTGAGGCAACTTTCCAGTGCATACGTTGGACTCTTTAACATTGTCAAAAGATTGATATGACACTCTTTCTGGGTTGTTCTTATTCATTGGTTTCCTTTACTGGTCAAGTGCTCTGGATGTGTTTGTTTGACATGAGAAAAAGTATGGATGCTGTTTGCAGGCACAAGAATTGTTGTCTAATATAGCCTCATTGGAGATGACTGTTTCCAGACTAGAAGAAGAGATGATTTCTTTGCATTTTCAGCTTATTCAAGAAAGAAATGAAAGAAGACTTGCTGAGTATCGACTAAAACAATTGCCTTCACAACCAGTGAAAGTCTGCCCTTCTCAAAATGTGAAAAATGTACTCTTTTCATTTTACTATGCACATCTATTTTTAGATACTCAATGCACGTAGAACATCTAATCAGCTTGACTTTCTTTGCATATATTGCTAAAGGGAGACGTTCCTTCATTTTCCATTCCTCACCGACCTGATCCTAAAAGATATCTAACAAAGGACAATTAATGCTTTTTTCCATGTTTTTAAGACAACATATAAAATCTTGTTATCATTGGCATTAAATAGAAGATTTGCACTCTTATAATGCACTTCCATTATCTGCATTACCTGATGATTTCATTAAATCAAATTATCAATTAGCAATCTCTATCCTTTGGTTAGCTGTGATGTTTGCATTCAAGTACTTGCCATATCAATATACAACCCGAAGCCTGTTCTTAATCAGTTATAAAATTCTGACTGGGCCTTTTCTGTCTGTTTATTTTTTCATATCATCTTATCAACATGTAGAATTTTTTTCTTCTTTCATTCTGATCTAGGTATTATTGGCATTTCACTGATTGCATTCATGACCTAACTCAAATGGATGTGGAATTTGATTTGTGATTTGTTTTCAGTTTTTATCTTTAAAATGATATCTCTAACGCCTGGAGTTACAAGTTGAAGATAATGTCAGGTTACATGGGTAACTATAATTTGGTTGTTTTTTGCATATGAATTCAATTTGAAGTAGAAAATGGTAGTGTAATGTACAGATACTGTAAACAAAACAAGATGAAACAAGAAATGCAAATTATGTATTGAGATCTTGCCTAACAGTTTAACTGGTCACTTATTGAAAATCTCATCATATATCAGGGATTGTGTTCTTTTTTAATTGCTTAAGCTTTTGAGATCAGTTGGTCACTAATTAACAATCCTATCAAGAAGATCGTGGACACATTTTCCAAAAATATACAACTACTTATCCATTACATATATAATCTTATTTTGCACCAGGATACGATAGGCAGCATGCTCGATCAAGAAGAGAAGTTACCTGAGGAAAATCTTCAGCATGTACCAACTGAGAGTTTTAGAAAACAAATCCCAGTCAAAGGATTATGGAACAACCCTAATCAGTTGTCCGAGGAGATAGTCCGCTGTATGAAAAATATTTTCATCTCACTAGCAGATGTTTCTATTGTATCATCCAGATTGTCATCAGATATCATTCGCTTTCCTCTATCTCCTGTGGGGCTTCTTTCAAATTCATCACATTGTTCGATATCTGAATCGTCAATTTCATCATGGGCACACAGTCCTCGAGTGGGTCTACAATGTAATAATGATCTTTTAGCCATGGGAACTACTTTTGATCCTTACAGAGCTCATGGAAAACTATGTTGGGCTGATATTGGAAATTATAGTTTAGCAACTGAAGTCTCCTGGATGTCAGTGGAGAAAAAGCAACTTGAATATGCTGCTGGTGCGCTAAGGCGATTCAGGTACTTATTTGTTCAATTTTTTCTAGTTCTTTTTATGTTTGAAGGATCAGGGTTTTGAAGTTCTTCCTCTATGCATATATCCCTTTTTTTCTGCACCATGAACACTCTTCTTTAAATTATAATTGGCCGTATGTTTGTGGGTCAGGCTTTGGATTCTTGAAAATTTATGTTTAGCTCTTTTCTGGTAGTGTTTTCAATAATGCGTAGGATGATGATTCTAGACTTCACCAGAGTATTAGTAGAACTCATTTCATAAAAATCAACTAGAAAGCATTTATTTGTTCTTTTGCATTTCTCTTCTATTTTTGTATGGTAAAAGTTGATTATACAATATTCTATAAGCTGACACTGTTTACTTTGTTATGTGTATATTATATATGCTTAACATCTTGGGCCTGTTATACAGAATCTCACACAGTCACTGTTCATCTATGACCATGTATGACACTTTATTACTAGAAAACTTATTTGCAATTTTCAGGAACACTTGATTTTGAAATGAAGTACTTCACATTATGTTTTCTTATTGAAGTAAACGAAAAAGTAAAGATCCTTTTAGTGACATTAAACAAACTTTCAATTTCACCGGAATAATATTTTATGCAATGTTGGTAATATTCTCTATATATTTAAGTGACAACACATTTTGATAGAGTAATAAAGTTTACTCCCTGCAGTGAAGTTGTTTTGTTTTTCTAAGGATCATTTTGTGCAATTTTTTTGTCAATACTAATATTCACGTTTTAGCCAACAGATCACTGATTGAGCAACTAGCAGAAGTAAATCCAGTCCACCTTAAGGGAGATGAGAAGCTGGCATTTTGGATCAATTTATACAATGCATTAATCATGCACGTAAGCTATCTGAATATATGATACAATATTTTTATTCTATGTTGAAAACCTGAAGAGTAACAAGGGTGAGTTTATTTGCTGTGAGCTACAAGGATTTGAATATATTTATCTCATTCACTGCAGGCTTATCTTGCCTATGGCGTTCCACGGAGTGACATGAAATTATTTTCTTTGATGCAAAAGGTTTATTCATCAAACATTATTTCTCCCATGTTATTTTTCTATCAAAAAAATTTTATTGTTATTTCGGTATTCGAGTAGTAATAATAGTCTTGTTGAATCTTCATTTGTTGCCAACTGATGCTTCATTTATGTTCAACAAAGCTAGATATGCATGTCATTCATCATTAATATCCTTTTTATAACAATTCTTGAGCCTTCTTATCTTCAGGCCGAGGCACAGTGTCTCATTAACTGTTTGAGTTGCATTATCTGAAATTATGTTGGACTTTATGCATGAATTGCTGGTAGGATTTGGAAAATGTCACTGTAGCATAACAGATGTACATCTTATTTCTGAAAATTTTACATGTGCTGGAAGCTTAGACTTCCATAAAAGATAAGTAGAATGGAAAGGATACACGGTGCATTTAACACTTTATTCAAGCAACTAGATGTAAGTCCACTAAATCAATATATGTCTGCATGATGGAGATTCATCTTTGATTAAGGATTCTAATCTTTTGCTTGCTCCAGCAATCAGATTAATTTGATTTTCAATAAATAGCTCCGAGATTCCTATTCTTGTTTTCTCCGGGCACTGAAAGAATATGAAAAGTTAATTTATAGTAATGCATTTGCTCTAATTCCTGAATCACCAAACACAAAACTTGACAGCAACATTGCGTAGTAATCAATTTAGAAACCACCAGTCAATCTCCAATTGTCTGAATGCAACAGGTGAGGGATCAACAAATCTGTATGACCATTTAGCGATGGTAACATGTTAAAGAAAATTAAAGCTCTTTAACATGAAAGATAAAAAACCATTACCTGAAATTAGTACTCTATTGTTTGGCAGTCACTGGCATTACATATAATTGTAGGGCAATTCCGCTGTGGTATTGCAGTGCTATTTCTTTTGGTACAAAGTTATCAGCTGAATAAGTAACACGTGTTTTATTCTTTATCATGCTGTACACCCCTTAGATGTCTAATATCATTCTCTTATTAGGCTGCATATACTGTTGGAGGGCACTCATTTAGCGCTGCTTGCATCGAGTACGGAATACTAAAAATGAAGCCACCAGTCCATAGGCCTCAAACTGTATGTGGATTTCCTACAAAATTGACCAAATATTCTAGCCCTCTTGTTATTGTTTGAATCTTTTACATTATGTGTTAATATTCTTGCTTTGTATTCTCAGGCTTTGTTTCTTGCCCTTCACAAGTTGAAGCTATCAGAGGAGCAGAAAAAGTTCTCAATTGAGACATTCGAGCCACTCGTGACATTTGCTCTAAGTTGTGGATCATATTCTTCCCCTGCGGTAATGTTATTGCTATAATATGCATTAGTGTTTAATTGTGTTTCATGCTTAATTGCCATCTCAAGCTACTCTGTGTAGTGTGCTTTTGTTCTAATGTGCACACCAACACTTTAAGTCATCGTGGTAACATTTAGTTCACCTTAGCTGTGTTTGTGGGGATGACATGAAAGCAGTCACAAATGTTACACAATAATCATTGGGTAGACGAATTGATGGACATTTGACGGGAGGTTGATAGTTTCGCTCCATCAACTTGAGATTGATGGTTGATACTCGATGCAAGGGAGGTTGATAGTTTTGCTCCATCATGGTAGTGTGCAGTGTATATATATCTCAACTTGAGATAGCATGGTTTGCAGGTAAAGATCTACAGCCCTGCAAACGTGAAGGAGGAGTTACAAGAGGCTCAGCGTGACTACGTACGGGCCTCTGTTGGAGTCAGCAGCAAAGGGAAGCTTCTGGTTCCGAAGATGCTTTACTGTTTTGCCAGAGGCATCGTCGACGATGCCAACCTAGCAATTTGGATCTCTCAGTTTCTCCCGCAGCAACAAGCAGCCTTTGTTCAGCAGTGCATGTCGCAGAGACGGCAGAGGTTTCTTGGCTCCTGCAACTTCCGAGTTATGGCCTTTGATTCCCGGTTTCGCTACCTTTTCTTGCCTGAGAAATTAACATGACTCTGTGGTGCCAATAGTATCTTTTGAGCTTCTTACATCTATTAGAAGATGGATTTGGTACAGAAGATTAGCAAATAATGATATGCTTTCTGCTGCTTCCAGGGCTAGTTACGAGGATCAGTTTAAATTATTGTGAATTACTTCGGCAATTCTAATGTATTTGTCGAGTAAAATGGTTGTCTTCTGCTTGTAGACTATATTGTAGATGCGAGTGGATTATATCAACCCGTATAAAGTTGAAAACAGTGTGTTAAATTCTCTAAATAATTGGCATTGTCTTTATTGCATTGTGTTAATCAAGCAGCGTTGATCATATGTTCTTTAGAATCTTAACTGCAGCAAAACCTGCCTTTTAAGGCCTCAATATTCAACTATATTTCTGAACAGGTTCAGGAAATTTGTAAGGATTAAAACTTTGTAGTTTGCTGATTGCTGAATTCCCTGGTTTATAATTCAAGCAAGAAAATTATACATCAGTTCAAGCAAATAGTTCAAGTGATGGGAATACTATGGATGCTGGAATTATGCAAATCCTCTGTTTTTCCATAAGATAACAGGATGATGTTTGATAGGACATACAAATCTTGAACAATGATGTTAATGACACAAAAATTTTGGTCAATGTGGAAAGAAACTTGTGCAGGTAAAAATTATATATACCCAAACAACCACAGTCAACAATGAATAATTGGTCTAAACTATTTATTCTTCAAATATGCACAGAAGTACAGAATATGCAATGTTTCAGAAACTTGCCAGCTACTAAATCACTCACCAAGAAAGCATTTCTTTAGAATAAGCAAGAAATTTGCCATTCAGTTAACACAATGATGTTAAAATACGAAATTCAAATTGATGCACTTTGGTTTGTGTGGGTTTAGTACCGGTATTTCTTGCAACACAAACAACTGTATCAAGGGCCATCTTCTCCATCCTTGATTAGGTTGCAGATGTCTGAGCACTCTACCAAACTGGTTGACAGAAAGTTGCGCGTTTATATCCCTCAGAAATGAGTATCTATCTGAAACACAAAATGGACAAAGGCGCAAAGAACTTACCAGTACTGACGACTGCGGAATCCATCCTTGAACACCACAAGAGGCCTGGTTATGGAATATAAAACGTTATTTTAAGCTTTGTCAGGCAAAGTTCTTGAAATGTCGAGCATGATAACTCCATTAAATTTACTGTGCTACACTCACAAGTGAGATGACATGAAACTTAAAGATCAATGCAGAGGTAAAATTTGATCTTTGGAACAGTACTAATCTATTTTCATTTAGACAGTCATCATGTAAGTGTAGTTGCAGACCCAAATTTGAAATTAATTTTCATTAATGCAAGTCAGTTGGTCAACTAACTCTTAAGTTCTTCAAAATTCTTTGTGGTACCATTTTGGATAATTCTATGCTCTCCAGCAAGAGATGTTATTTTCATACTGTGAACTAAAGCCTTTACCTTCATCAGCACCTCCTAATCACCAAAGCACATGTCTGGTAATCTATGTTATCTCCTCTTCCTTTTATGCTAAACATTTTGCATCTCATTCTATAATTTCTTTTCCACTAATGTGCTCCCACACAGTGCTACTAATCTTGAAGCTATTTAAAATCTTGTTTACTCCATCCAGATCCTATCATGCAACAGATGATAAATCAATGGATACTGGATACCTTCTATATGTAACTGATGGGGCCCAGGCCATGAAGATCATTAATATATTATGCTTCGGTCAGTATCCTTTGTAATGTCTCTCTTTTCTCAAAATAAACTAGAAAAAATGGACTTCTTTGCTGACATTGAAGAAGAAATGCAATCTTGCATGTAATGATAACATGATTTTCACAAGTGGCACCTCAAGAAAATAATTTCTTAAAAGATATCACATTACCAAGTGATTTTGCATGCTACAAAAAGGGTAAACCTTTGCCTCCTCATTCTCTTATTGATCCTTTTTCCTTTCTTTTCTGTTTAGCCGGCACATCTGGCATCATTCACTTGTGTTGTTCCAGGTTTCCTTTTGTCATCCACACCTATATTGGCTGTCAATTGCTAAACCTTTGCGGAAAAGGATCTTGCATTCACAAAAAATGATTCTGTGTGTTTATTCGCTTTCTTTTTAGTGTCAAGACATGATCAACACATTTTCTTCAGCACTAATCCTTTTCCACTTCTAATGAGCATTCTGTTCACCATCGTCTCCAGTTTCATGAAAACTTCTTTTGGACATCCAAGTCATGTTGCATTGGATGTTTCTTTTTTATAACCACTGAAGAGAAACCATATTTCTTGGAGAAAATTAATCCAACCTCTTTAACAATCATTTTTGAGAAAAGAGGAAAAAACTTGGCTCAATCTGTAACTTTCAGTGCCATTTTTGTTTTCCTTAACTCTTATTCATTGTAATAATTGTCGAGGAAAAAAATTCTTAAGTAGTGCACAAGCTCATAAGAAAAGGCTACAAGCATATGCAGACAGGAGTCTTGCATATGTATAAGAAAAATACTAGTAGTGCATGGGCTTATCGTTAGTTGAAAGGAAAAAAACTCAGGGATGGAAATTAAATTTAATGGTTCCTAAATTAAACTTCTGAAAGCTTAGATGCGGAGTTAAGTTTTATCTTATTTCTTTCACACTACATCTTCTCCAACCAGAATTCTTCCACCAATAATGCTCATCTTACTGCCTTCAATCCTCCATATGATCTTCATTAAACACGCATTGAGATTCTAATCCATACATTCTCCATGAACACATTCAAGATGCCTCTTTACACTATCCGTATGGCAACACATATCATATATGTATTCATCCATCTCCAATACTCCAATACTGGCAGTATGCCTTTCAAGCAGTTGCAAACTTGCAAGTGAGCCATGGATTCACCAAAATATCTATGCTCATGCCGTCAATTCCAAATACATTTTTCTCGTTCAATCACCATGTTACCATGTCAGTATATAGCACAAATCTGTCAGATGTATACGCCGATCATATTTATTGCAAGCATTTATGGGCCTTTTTTACATTTAGAGCACAACAAAAGAATAACTAAAACACTAATTTATTGACTCAACAATCATAGTGAAGGACTAAAGTATAATCTACAAAACAAGTTTATGTCTACTAAACCTACCAGTTTGCAAAGTGCTTGAAACACTCATTGAATCAATTGAAACTGTTATTGAGTCAACATCCTGCTCTCCTAATTTAGACAGCATGCATGTAGAGATTCATCAAGCAAAAACAAATGCACATTGATCTTTTGCAGGTAGAAATCTGAGGTATACAAGGAAAACAAGAAACCCTACCTTCTAATATTGAAGGGTCCTTCGCCCGGTGAGCCAGCGCCGCCCAGAATGCACGTGGTGACACACTTGCCGACACATTTCTCCGCTTTCCTCGACTTCGGCCGTTGGATTCTGGCCTGCTTCTTGTCATCCCCTGAACCCAAAGCCAGTTCATGTTTTCACCTCGGAGCCGAAATTGCTGTAAATTCCACAAACACGTTGCAGTCAAGAAGCGAAAGACCCACCGGAAAGCGTCTGCGGCACGTCGTACAGCGTGTCCGGCGACGAAGGCACGGCGGAGGACGAGAGGACGACGAGTGCTGCAAGCAAAGCCGGCGCGGAGCTCATCACGAAGCCCGTTCTCGCCGTCGCTTCTGCTCTTGCCCTTGTCCTCGTGCTGCTACTAAGCCGGAGAAGGCGAAGAGGACAGGCGAACGGGGGTTTGTACGGGACGACCTTCGGCAGTAGGCTTGCCATCTCTTCTTCGAGTCGGTTCCTTCTACCTCTCCTGATCGCCTTTCATCTCTTTCTCTGCTTCATTGCGTGCTCTGCAGCTAGTGGAGTCGAAGCTGACCAGGTTCTTACGATCCCTTGGTTCCTCTTCCTCTCTCTCTCTCTCTCTCTCTCTCTCTCTCTCGCTCGCTCTCTCTATTCTTACGTGTGGCGGAGGGGGCGTCACCTCCGCGCGCTGATGCTGGCCGCCCCCATAAATCCATATCAATGGTGAGCAAAATTTAATGGAAATAAAATAAAAATAAAATAAATAATTTGGTAAGTGAGACGTCTATCGGGCTTAACTCGAGTTCGGTAGATGTCAAAAAAGCGATGCCTCAGGTTTTGATCAATTCGACATGCATTCGTCAACTCATGTCAATCCGTCTCGACACAATCTGATTTATTTCTATAGTGATTAATATATATATATATATATGATTTCTGAATTTTTCTGGGGGGATAAATAAAACAAATTGTGCTAGCAATACTATATAATCGAATCTTCAGTCTTCCAATGTCATGTATGCTTGTTGACGACCCATTAAACATGATCATTAAGCCTGTCTTCGCCCTTCGCCCATGTCTTCGCCTTCGTAGGAGCTTCCACTCCGACCTCCACGAGTACGTCTCCCAGCTCCAGCTCTGCGCCGCCCGCCGACATCTCCCCAAGGCCCGGGAGCTCCATGCCCGCCTCCTCGCCACTGGCCTCCACGCCTCCCCCGTCGCCACCTCGGCCCTCATCTCCCTCTACTCCAAATGCGCCCGCCCCGCCGACGCCCTCTCCGTCTTCCTCTCCGCCCCGGCTCACCCGTCTAACCTCTTCGTCTGGAATGCCGCCATCGCAGGACTTGCCTCCAACGGCCTCCCTTCCGACGCCCTCCGCCTCTTCCGCCGCCTCTCCTCGGAGCCGGGACTCTCCCCGGACGAGTTCACCTTCCCTTGCGCCATCAGGGCCTGCTCCGATCTCGGTGCGTCGGATGAGGTCCGGAAGATTCATGCGACGTTGTTCAAGGTCGGTTTCGACGCTGAAGTGTTCGCTGCCAGCGCGTTGATCCGTGCTTACTTGAACATGGGACTTGCGGATGAGGCTGTTAAGGTGTTCGATGAATTGCACCATCGGGATGTCGCCATCTGGAACGCCATGGTGAATGGTTTTGCGCAGTTGGGTCAGTTTGCTCGCTCTATGGATTATTTCCGCCAGATGATGAGCGAAGGAATGGTTCCGAGTAAGTTCACTGTTACCGGCGTCCTCTCTGTGTTTACCGCGAGGGCTGACCTCGGAAATGGTCGAAAGATTCACGCTTTTGTCATAAAAATGGGGTTAGACGATGAGATTGCTGTCTCCAACTCGCTCATTGACCTCTACGGCAAGTGCCACGCATTGGAGGAGGCGGAGGAGATCTACGAGTCGATGCAGGAGTGGGATGCCTACTCATGGAATTCGATGATGTCTGCTTACCAGTACTCCGCTCATCATGCAGGGACTCTCCAACTGTTCCGTCGGATGAGACACAACGGAGTGATGCCGGACGCCGTCACTATTGCTGCCGTCCTTCCAGCTTGCTCTCAGGTGGCAGCGCTAAGGTTCGGGAGAGAAATCCATGGCTTCGCCATTACAAGCGGCATGAGGGGTGTCAAAGACGATGTCTTTGTTGACAACGCCTTGATGGACATGTACGCCAAATGTGGCGCTTTGGAGGAAGCGAGACTCCTGTTCAATGGGATGCCAAGCCGAGATGTGGCCTCGTGGAACATCATGATCGATGCGTATGGCGCACATGGACGGGGAGCGGAGGCCGTCGAACTCTTCGAGCAGATGGTGGTGGTAGGTCCGGCTCCCGATGAGGTGACATTTGTCGGGGTGCTCTCAGCCTGCAGCCATGCCGGGCTGGTGGAGGCTGGAAAGGACTTGCTTCAGCGAATGGAGGCAGAATTCGGGTTGGCACCATCGATGGAGCACTACGCATGCGTAGCAGACATGCTAGGCCGAGCTGGCTTGCTGGAGGAGGCCAAGAGGGTGGCGGAGAAGGCAGGGGCGGGAGGCGCTGGTGTGTGGAGGGCATATCTAGCAGCGTGCCGGATGCATGGGAAGTCGGCGCAGGCATCCGAAGCAGCGCAGAGAGTGGCGGAAATGGAACCCCAAGGAAGCGGGAGTTACGTGCTTCTGGCTAGTACTTATGGCGGTGCCGGTAAGTACAGTGAGTTGGCAGAGGTCAGGAACCAAATGAGGAGAAAGGGGCTGAGGAAGGCACCTGGATGCAGCTGGGTGGAGGTCGGAGGAGCGAGGATGCACGCCTTCGTTGCAGGCGACCAGGAGCACCCAGAGGCGGCGGAGATATACACGGCGCTGCACGGGCTGATGGGGTGGATGAGGGAGGCGTGGGGATACGTTCCTGAGGTGATCGCTGCTCACGGCGAGTGACAGCTTTGGACTCGTCGGGTACGCCGTCTCCCTCTGGTGTGACGACGGCGTCAAGCCGATCACGTGCAACACCCAAATATTTGTTCATTTAAAATAATTATTAATTTTAGTTCACGACGGATATCAGATACGAACTTGTCTACGATCTCTTAAACAACGGTTTGATATGCACAATCGCTGCTTCACCTTTGATGTCACGGAGTTGAGGTGCTCGGGAGAAGAGATCTGACAGTCTTGTTTGAGCAATGGCGACGCGGCGGCTATTCGCCCTCCGCCCGGCTCGTCTCCTCTCCCTCCCACCTTCCGCCCCCCGCTGCCGGCAAGGACCGGCGCAGCACTGTAGAGGGCTCGCCGCGTCCACCCTCATCAAAGGAAGCAAGAAGAAGCAGAAGGAGGCGTCTAAGCCCACGACGTCGCCGTCGCCCGACCGCCTCAAGAAGCGGACGCGCTCGGGGGCGAAGTTCGACCGCGGCCTTTACCGGCGATACGCTGACCCTGCCCGCGGCCACGTGCCCGTCATGCTCGGCGAGGTGCTCGACGCCTTCGGCACCCTCCACCTCCGCTCCTTCGTCGACTGCACCCTCGGAGTCGCCGGCCACTCTGCCGCTGTCCGTCCGTCCCTCTCCCACAAGCTCTCCGTTCCCGTTCTACCTCATTCTTAGCTCACAGTCACTCCTGATGTGCTTCGTGTTGTAGCAGATTATAGAAGCTCATCGAGAGTTGGAGCTGTACGTGGGGATGGACGTGGACCCTGCAGTCCACGACGAGGCTCGGGCTCGGATAGAGAGGCTCTTGGCCGAGGATTCGCGTGGCAGCAGCTTGGAAGCTTACACTCATGTTAGGAACTTCAAGTACATCAAGTCAGTGCTCGGCGGCGTGGACGAGAACCTGTTGGATGTGGGAGTGAATGGGATCTTGATGGACCTCGGAATGTCATCTATGCAGGTCAGGAAATGCATGCCTCTCTCATGTTTGACGAATTGCCGCAGTAAGCCTTGGCCTGGAAATAAAGCTCTAGGTCATTGAACAGGTCGACGATTCAGGAAGAGGATTCAGTGTGCTCAGCGATGGGCCTCTGGATATGCGCATGAACCCTCAGGTGAGAGCTTTCTTTAATATGTGAACTCTGTCGTGTTTCCTAACTGTTTGGATTACTGAACTAGAATTCATACTAGTGATGGATGCTTTCTGCTACAGTCTAGTAGCATGAACATTCATTTTTCCCTTAGATTTGTCAGATTCATGTGATTGGGATTCTTGCATGATATTGATTATTCGTGCGTGGTACATAATCTACACAATTAAATGGAATTATAGTGCTCTTCTACTTAAACCACTTAATTGTCCCAAAAATAAAAAGATGTATTTCTAGTACTTCTATTGTGATAAGGAAAAAAAAGGACCCTGCCAATTCAACGATTGTATGGGTTATGACAGGCAAGTTTGACAGCAGAGGATATCTTGAATTCATGGCCTGAGTCTGAAGTTGGAAAGATATTGCGTGATTATGGGGAGGAAAGCAACTGGCATTTTCTTCAGAAACAAATTGTGAAAGCTCGTGCGAGCGTGGGGTTGCATTCTACAAGTGATCTTGTCGATCTTGTGAGAAGGGCATCTGGCAGATCAGGAGGTAGGCACCTGAATTTCTATGTTAGATAATTTGATGCGCTCACTCATCTGCTTTGCTGGAACCTAAATACGGATGCACACACACAAACACCTGGGTTGAGCATGGTTTCAGTAACTTGACCAATTAATTGAGCCATATTTATGCTGATCAACCACATAAAGCCAACAGCATTGGTTCTTGAAGAAATTACTTTAGCATGTAGGTTAGAGTGTGCCATGAAGAACAACACCCATGATTGAAATTAGCCAAGATTTTGGAACTGAACATGATGAGTACATCGAATTTGAACTCTCAAAAACAGAATAAGAGCGATCAACAATTTTTATCTGTATGACAATGGCATGCAATTCCTGATGAGTGCATGGTGGATCAAAAACATTGCAGGTAGGGAAGGATGGATCAAGACTGCTACACGGGTTTTTCAAGCGCTAAGGATAGCAGTTAATGATGAACTAAAGACACTAGAAGATGCACTCTATGCGTGCTTCGATTGTCTCTCCTCTGGTGGTCGGCTCGTCGTTATCTCATTCCACAGTTTGGAGGATAGAATTGTGAAGCAGACCTTTCTTGACATGATCGAAAAGCCCAAAGGGGATGATGACAAGGGTGAGATTTCTTCCGGTCTGAGTTTGCTTGCAACTGAGAGCGAAGCAGAAACTTGGAGTAAGAACAGAGTTCAAGGGAGGCAAGGGATTGTTCTCACCAAGCGACCCATAACACCCACAAAGGAAGAAGAGAAACTGAACCGCAGGTGTAGAAGCGCCAAGCTTAGGGTTCTTCAAAAGATCTGATAATTTGAATGTGAAATGTTTCGGGAGCAAAATGCCCTCAACTTTGTATTTGTTGTCTTGAATTTGTAATTGATGAGGTGTTCTTCTTGATAGCTACTCCAGTCGGTACTATGTGAATCAAACACTGTCTTCATTCATTTTTAGCTCGTTTGTGATTCTCGAAACATCGACATTCCAATTCAAAAGTCTCCTTCTGATTAATAGGGATCTTATTGAACTTTTCGATTCTACTCTAGTCTAGGTATTGAATGAACCACTCTTCAACTGTTCAAGAGTCAAAAATTTATGTTTTATGTGGGACACAATTATTTATCGACATTGTTAATGTCGATTTTGATCGTCAATCCAATTTGTTGGATTACGATGTGCTGTTCATCAAGATCGATTGTGGTCATCAATCTAATTTGTTGAACTTGATCGGACCGATCAAACAGTTTGAACATATTCCAAGTCCCTTACATGTGAAACCTGAGGCTAGCGAGAAAGAAAGCCCTAATAACTTAGCCTGCAAGCCAAGCACAGGCACTCCTCTGGACGAGCTTTCTGCAAATTAGGTTCCACTTCTGTTCTGTACACGATGCAAACCAAATATAATGCATCATACATCATAATTGGTTCACATGAATTAGATCACCATGTCAATAGGTGTGTAATTGATTCAAAAGATCAATCAATAAGTTAGAAGAATACTCGATTCCATTAACATTTTTCACGTAAAAAATGTCAAACATGTATATACTTACATCTCTCGTGTCTATATATATATATATATATATAACCACCC